GCGTGTTGCATCGATCGGAAGAGATGGTAATCCGACGGTGCCAAGTCTGGAGAGTACGCTGTAAGCGGGAGGACTTCCCATTCAAGCTCTAGAAGTGTCTGCTTCACGCTTTTCGCAACATGCGGTCGAGCGTTATCATGCAAAAGAATGACTTTGCGTCGATTGTTGGCTACGGATGGTCTTTTTTGCGTCAACTCGTCACTCAATCGGCTTAATTGCTGTTGGTATCGATCAGCTGTAACGGTTTTATTTGGACGCAAGAGCTCGTAATACAGCACACCCTCCTGGTCCCACCAAATGCAGAGCAAGGTCTTATGCCTGTGAGTATTCCTCTTCGGCGTTGAAGTGGATGGTTAGCCGGGGTCCAACCATGGTTTCCTCCACTTGGGATTATCAAAGTAAATCCATTTTTTATCGCCAGTCACGATACGCCACAAAAAAACTCTTTTTTCTTTGCCTGGCAAGCAAAGAAGTCGCGATAGACAAGCGATTCAAAATTGCATTTTCTGACAACTCATGTGGTAGTCATATTCCTTTCTTATGAATTTTTCCCATGGAATGCAAGCGTTTTGAGATGGCCATTGGAGTAACATTTAACGCTTTCGACAACTCTAAAAGCGTTTGAGCTGGATTCGCATCGAGCAATTTTTGCAGCTCAACATCTTCAAATTTTTTCGGCTGTCCGGGACGTTCTTTGTCTTTCACGTCAATATCATTGTTTCGAAAGCGTTCAAACCAAACTCTACATGTTCTTTCCGATGGAATTTCATCACCATACACTTCGGATAATAAGCGATGCGTTTCAGCTGCGGTTTTCTTGAGGTCGAAGTAGTGAAGAATCACATGTCGGAAAAACAGCTTATCGCGGTTTATTTTCAATCGACTGGAAAATCTCTTTGGCGTCGAGAAATCTAACCTGTGAGGACTGAATCACTTTCAGCAATGTCTAAACTACAAAAGACATGCGACTTCACCGTCGAAACTCGCCAGCGTTGGAGTCGGCATCCTCTAATAGCGAGCGGCAGGAATTAAGTTTACCTATTTGAATAATATGTGAATATTAATAAGAGATACTTTAAATATTCCGAAAGAAGAGGTAACACACACATACATAGCAATAGCATCTGCGGTAGATGTGGGGCACCGTGTTATGAATAGACTGACTATTTTTTACTTGTATCATGTAGATGACGATAAGTAGGAAATGAAATCCGACGAGAGTTTGGCAAGTTTAGAAATTGATCGGTTAAATAGCGTGTAGACGAACGAGAGATAACTTTCCGTTTAATAGATATCACTAGCAAATGTCTCAAGTGACTTGATCAAAGCTTTGTGTATATATAAACATTAATATGTAAAGTATCTTCCAAGTATTATCGCGTATCTTTATTATTGCTATCCTGTGTTCTAATTTTAATCTGTTGAATAATATACAGGACTTGATTACCTTTTACGGCAAGCTTAATCAATCGGCTTGTATTCTTTGAAGTTTAATCTCCTCTGAAAATCTATGCATTTTGCAAATGTTTAAATTTGAGAGAAGTTGACTTCATATTCGTCAAAAGACCCATCAGCGGGTATTCGAAGCTCCCACAAACGAATGTCGCGGATGAGCGCCGTGATTTGAATGCACGCAACAGCGGGAGTACGCTCGAATGGCGATGATGATGATCGCGCTCATGTTACAAGTTGTACACTTACGAACGCGAAAACAGACGGACGAACGGCGGAATTACGCTCATCATGATTATGACCTTCGTTCAATTAGCGCGACAAGCTGGTACCGGAGCGCCCACGTGAAAATGATCCATCGTGTCACAACTATTGTCCTCGGTTAGACCTAGACTCTAACTCGGTCATGTGAAACTTTAACAATGATAATAAACCCCCGCCTACTATCCGCGCCTCCTCCTTTCTCCGGCTCGCTCGATCTCTCTCTCTCTCTCTCTCTCTCTCTCTCTCTCTTTCCGTCTCCCACTCTTGTCAAGAATCCGAAAGAATGTTGGCGACCTCCACCTTGAGATTGCATTTCGGTTGTGCCGGGACCACCCTCCGAGCAGGTAGGACATTGACAGTGGAAACCTTTCTGTGAAATTCCTGATTTCGGAGATTACGAATTCTTGACGTAGAATACGTTTCCGTTGCGGTTCCTTTTGCCTTGTTCCGTCGAAAATTTTTTTTTAAGAAAGAGCAAATCTTTTTATACTCCTTCGCCTATTTTAAAAATTCGAAGATCTTAACAAGAAATGTTTGAGATTTATTTTTACTCTCAGTTCAATCCTTAATATCAGAAATTTAATTTCTGAAGATATTTGTTGTAGATGAAAATAAACGGGAAGGAGACATAAAATTCTATGACCGAAGCGAATTAGATCTTTCTAAATCGAGTCTTGGCACGGACACCGTTTGCACCCGGTTACTGCATCGCCGTTCCAAGTAGGTTACGAATACGAGCGTGATTTGAGAAAGTAACAGACACCGTCCAACTGTCGTTCCGCTCGCCACGATTAGGCGCGTACATTCGCTGAGATATGATAAAAAATTATTTTTCATACCACACAAATATATAGTATGTCTGGTTTAAGTGTTTACACTCAGTTAGTGTTTTAAATAATAGAGTTTATAAAAAATTTTGAATTATTTTTTTTTTTAAATGTCCATATAGACAATTTTATTTTTTTAAATGTAATATATCTATTTTTCTACAGTTTTGTAAGATATTTTATGGCAAATTTGATAATATGCGATAAAATAAGATTCTCAATATTAGTCATTTATAAGATATTGTTTATAAGATCACTTGAAAAAACAAAATAATCTATTATTTAAAAATCCATTATTTAAAAAAAAACACGCTCTGTTATTATTATTTAAACAAACTCTATTATTTAAAAATCCATTATTTAAAAAAAAAAACACGCTCTGTTATTGTTATTTAAACAAACTCTATTATTTAAAAAAATAACTGAGACCGTATACATTTAAACCAAACACATTGTATAACTGTATCCAAAATACATCTTTCGCGACGGAAAATAAAATATATTTCTCGTGGAAAATAAATTAGAAAAATATCGATATCGTTATACTTTTCCTAAAGAAAAATCGATTTCAAACTCGGCGAATATTGGAAAAATCTGCAACGATCGATTTTGTTTTTACACCATTTGTTTAGAATCTTATCTCTCTCTTTCTCTCTTTTTCTTTTTCCTTGGGCGAAACAAATATTTCTGACACTCCACGCGTGCTAAATTCCTAGAGTCGGTCGAGTCTTTTACGCGATTTTGAGGCCAGAGAAGAACGGGTTTTACGGATCGCAAAGATCCTGATTGTCGATTGCTCGATATAACGTCGATTTACGATGCGAAGGGAGAGAGAGAGGGAACGACGCGAATGCAAACTCTATTTTTATAATTACATTTGCTATAAATATATCGACGCCATAATGACAGGTGCGATTAAAAACTGAGACGCGCAGATAATGCGAAATCGCACGTTGTGCAACAAAAACAAGCCCGTGTTGCGGCTTGAATTCCGATGCAAATTCACAGGATTACGCGCTCGCAAAATTACACGTCTGCCGTGATCGCGATCGCGTAGAAATACACACGCACACAATTGTAGATATATTATTCCCCCGCGGAGGTGGAGCGGATATTACCGTGAAATTGCGGTACTTGAGCGGTGCAGCGGTCTTGGACGGTGTGTATCTGATTGAGGGCTGCATTTACATTGTTATGCTCATTGAGCGAATTAATGCGCCGTCCATAATACGACGCAAGGACGCGAGGAAGACACGTCCTTGACGTTCCGCCGTGCCCCCGAGTCGGAAATTAGAGAAGAAGAGATTAGAAGCGAGATATATATATATATATATATAAATCACGCGTGTGATTTTTCAAAGCGTGTCTCAGCTAAAAATACAAAAATTCGGAATCTGGGGAATACCGGCAATGGTCCGTGCACAATTTGCATTCGCACAACTGGAATGCGCAGATTCTCAAAGGGGGTCTAATTTTGTGGGTCGCAGCATAATGTGAATGTATCTCGTATATTCGTTCATTCTTTATTGCCACTCGCCTCGTTTTCTGTGTTCACTTACTGCCGATTGTCAATGATTACGCGCGACCAACGTGGAATGTCGCATCGCTAGGATGAACCTGTGAGATGCGGGATGTCCTGATACTTCCGATGTTCTCGCTTCGAGGTATCCGGATTCTCTTTACATTATGCACGAAACGCTACTCCTCCGTTTTCATTCGCTACGTATTTTCAGATCGACCCGCGTCTTCGGCTTTGATGAGCAGCAGCTGTAGAGGCCGTAAACCCAAAGTGTCCTCACTTGGGTTCGGCGAACGGGAGCACCGTTTTAGCACGCACGGCACATCGGTCACGAAAAATTTCTTTTTTTTTCCGGTTCAAGATTCAAATTCGATTTTTTAACCGTGGAACTAAATTAATAATCAAAAACACTGTTGGCTTTTTGAAATAATCACTAATTCACAAAATTTATTACGATCGTGACGGAAGAAAAAAAAAGTAAAATGTCACAATATTTATAAAAGATTTTTAGACACTTGTGCGTTCCGGTCGCGTATAAAAGGAGTACTGACAATAAGTAATCGAGTCCGAACGTGACGGAGAACGCGGCCAATACTGCCGCGAGGAAGCCCGGAGCGGGACTGACTGGCGGCCAGGATCCATTTGGGTCAGCGGCACAACGTAGTATACCAAAAGATTGCTTCTCGACTATACTATCTGTTACAACCACGGAGTGAAGGTGCTATGCTACGTGCGATATAACGGAGTTATATCTTCGCCGTTCGGTTTTTCTTCCGGTTTTGCATCTCATTCGACATCTTCCTCGGATTATTCACGCGCGAAAGGCGTCCAAAGATGCAAATTACTCCACGTTAGTTTTGGGTATGTGAATACGAGTACAAATACATTCTCTTCTTTTTATGTATAATCTCTTTTTCGCATAGATGTATGTATATTTTTATAATTTCTTTATTAAAATTACAATAACATTTATATGGTCATATAATATATGATTGAATAATTTTAATCGACATTGAAGAGAGCGAAGAATTATTGTCCAATGTGCGTGCTGCGAAATACTCATATTAATCGATAAAAACTTATTTAGTGAATGAATTTTTTTGTAGTAATTAATATATGAATATATAAATAAATAATAGTTTCGATGTTGGCACAGATGTACATATTTTGTGTTTGTAATTAATTTTAATAGCAGGATGAATGAAATGACAATTAAATACAATATAATACTTAGTACGTTCAAAATTTAAAAAAGGCGCGCGCAAGTGTATCGCTATAAATGCGCTATATATACACTAGATAAAAAAATTAAAAAAAGGTCCACTTTCTTCCCTCTAGAAAAGGCTTTTTAAGTAGCTGCAACTTCGTCGCATATAATCGGATTGAGATCAATAAAAAGCGTTACAAAGTTTGAAGTTTCTAGTTTTAGAATCTTTTAGTCGATTTCAATTCTTTGTATTTGTTACAAAATTACATTATAAAAAAGCGACGTCCGTTGATTGAACAAATTTTTCAAAAGTTTGTCAAAAAGTGCCGAAGAAAAAAAATTGTAGCACAGTTACGTTAAGTAGATTTTAAAATACCGCCTTTTCTCTTTAAATTGCTTTTTTAATGATCATTGTGCAATAATTTTTTCACTAGTTATGAACGCTCAAAGTCAACAGGTTGATTTTACTTCAATAGTGAATCACTTAGCGAAAAAAGATCATAGGACATTCATTAAAAAAGCAAATTAAAGATAAAACTCTGCTCTTTAAAATCCAATTAACAAAATCGTGCTACAATTTTCTTTTCGGCACTCTTTGACAAACTTTTAAAAAATTTGTTCAATCGATGAACGTCGCTTTTTCATAATGTAATTTTGTAACAAATAAAAATAATTGAAATTGATTAAAAGATTCTGAAACTAAAAACTTCAAGCTTTGTAACGCTTTTTTATTGATTTCAATCCGATTATATGCGACAAAGTTACAGCCACTTGAAAATTGTCTTTTCTGTAGAAGGAAGAAAGTGGCCCTTTAATTTTTTTGTGTAGTGTATTTCTGCAGCATAATAATAGTTTCACATATACAAGTTTTACAATACATATACAAATTTTTTAACTTAGTGGAGATCCCATGTCAAACATTCAAGTCAACTTTGCAACCAAGGAGAAGACAATTGCACATTGCAAGAAAATGGATTGGGATTATTATGTGCAAAAGCCGAATCTTAATCAACCAAAACCTCGCAGTTATGGAATAAATTTCTCTCATAAACGAATACCACAAATAAACGAAACCAGAGTTTCGACTAAATAATAGGTTTCATCAAGTTAATCATTTGTAACTTTATGCAATAACAATGATAAGCATATTACTAATTGTAGTCACTTGTGATAAAAACTCTTGCAACAAATATTTATTATAATGCAAATAAATGTATATATGTATATTTAGGATAATATATTTTATATAAATATCGCTGCGATCCCATGACGATCTTGGCCGATTTCCCGAGACAAGCGCGAGAATGCATCGCGAGCCTTCGATCGAAGTACGATCTGATATAGAATATAACAATATATATATAATAAAATATTCGAATATATATATATATATATATAATATTAAGTATAAGAAAATTATCACAAGTACATGCATCACGTTGTGTGAAATGGGGCATCATATTCTTTTGTACATTCTCGCCAGGTAATCAATAACTGCCCGTTTTCATTATTGTGAAATTTAGCAAATTATAACATTCGCATATATTTGCGTGTATATATAGATATATGTATATATTCTGCAATACATGCAAGCTATATCTCTTGAAACGTATGCTAAAAGCTGCATCTTCAGACATGTATGCTAAAAAATCGATGATTGTTTTTAATTTGAACCAAAGAAAAATGAATTTCTATTTCATAATACTAGGAACACATTACATGCCTCTTAAAAGTATTTTAATGCCTTTTCACAGATTAAGCCTGTGATAGGCATATTCAAAAGTTTGTAGTGTCAACATTTAATTTATACCCGCGCGAATCTCTCTGTATTAAAAATATATATATATTTTTTTTTGTATATAGATAATACTTTTTGTTTTAAGAAAAATAGGCTTTTATAATCTCATGAGGTATCTCATGTTCATCGAGGGCTCTTTACTTATTTGAAACGTAGAAATCGTGAAATCTACATGGAAGTCTTTGGTTTAAATTCTACGTAATGCGAATAGTCCAATTGCAGCACGACGTAGTTATTGTTGACAAACGCTCTCCTGAACGGATGCGCGTTTCCTTTGAATAGAAAAGGACACAGAGGCGGCTTGTTCGCGGCTTTCGCAGTTCCTGTGTCGGCCACGTCCCATAAATCAATCATTTGACATCCTCGTGGTCTGGAAAAAAAAAGATTCAACATTATTTTGTTATAGTTACATGTTTTTTTTCTCATATACTTACAAGTTTGCAAATCCAAGGCACAGTTGTTCCTCTAATACGATATAACTGACTTTCATGTTTCTTAAAGAATTATAAACAGAAATGGCATCTTTCCGACTGAAAATCTCGTAAACCTTCATAGTTCTATCCCTATAATAAACACATGCCACATATAAATAAATATAATTTTAAGCAGTATTATACATGCTTGTGTGATTTTGATTTCTAATCCAAGCCTCACCTCATCTCTTTGCTCTCGTAGTAAGGATTATTAACGATCGGTCTCCTAGTGGACAGCATTAGGTTCGCCGTCAATGACATCTTTCCCGCAAATACGGCATGCTTTGGTGTATTATTTTTTATCCATTCAAATAGCTGTTCTTGTTCAATATTGCTGTATTCGCCTGCGTAGTGATAAAATGCAATTGTGATATCTTGCAGAAAAAAATCGATCAATTTATAATTCTCTCAGTTTGATAATAAAATTACCTACAAATCCGCGTTCCTCTTGAAATTTGTCAACACCGTGATATGACATACCACCCAAGAGAAGAATAAAAATGGCAAGCCGCATGAGTTCGCCTTTCAAACCGACTTTTTCCAGATATCGTTTGCTACACACCGCACCAGCTATTATACAAAGATGCGGCATCATGAATAATTTCAGTCTCATAACAAAAATGGCCATGATGATAAAAGCGCCAGTTTGCAGACCGTTATACGCCATATCAGCCTCTATGCAAAGCGGATAGCCGCTCGTCTTGAAACTCCTGTACCAATAATACAACGCAAGCATTCCGACGAGTATCGCTGTTGGTAGCAATAAAGTCATAATAATCGCTTCGTAAGTTTTGTATTGTAGAAAGTCGAATTCTGGCGCGCATGTATAAAGCATAGTATGAAAGTCTTTATAGCCGGTTAATTTAGACTTTAATATATTGAATACATGAGCGTCATCTTGAGAATATAAAATGTAAGACTTTATCCACTTTGTAAATATGATCGTTATAGCGATCTCGAGAATAATATCTCGTTTTATGTTTTGGAATCGGGATAACTTCATTAGAAAACTGGCCACATTGCTGCCGATTATGATACACGTGTAGAACGAGCAAATTATAAGAGTGCCGTTTGTTATTTTACTCGCTGCTGCGATAGCTAAGGCATGAGCCGTACAAAAGTTTTTGTAAAAATCATATGGGACAATCCTTAGCCACTTTAATATAAGAATTGCTATAATTTGCGTAGTAAAAACAAAATGCGAAAACTGCCAAGTGCACAAGCTGCAAATTGTTGAACCAAATATATCCTGAAAAGACAAAATAACTTGACTTTAGCAAAGAAATGATCTTTGAAATAATTATATAATAAATAATTTCTTTTTTATGTTACCACGAATAATCCTTGTCTAGTCTTGTTCCTTAATGAAGTTGGCTCTTTGTCCGAGTCGTGTTTTGCGTATTTTCTAATAGCCATTGTAACACTATACATTTGAAAGAGTAACATAGGATACGCAAATGTTTCTCGCAACGGCGGTGTCCATTGAACGCGGGTGCATTCATTGTGATTAAAGAAGAAGAATAGAATCGTTAGGACTCCACCGTAAATGGAATTACTCAAATACGTCGCATAGTAAAAAAGTATCGCCGCTGTGAAAATTGAGGAAGACCAAACTATCTCTAAATAGAAGTACACGGGTACGACCAGTCCTTCGCAGCTAGTTACGGGCGCCAAATTATCTCCTCTTTCTATCTAAATAAGATTGACTTATGTGATTACAAATTTGATCCACTTCATAAAGGGATTTTGAAAAGTCTTACCTGCCAACATCGCTCCTGTGATATGATACCAAGACTTTTTGCAATATGATAAAGAAAGCCTGCTACAATCTATAAAGTAAATAAGAAATTATGATATCTCTCTTATACCAGGTGTTTCAAGTCTAATGAGACAAACTTTAGGAGATGGTAAATTTCACCAAGAGAATCAATTCTTATCAAGAAATTCATGACGCGTTCTTAAAGAGCTATTCATTCCTGTTCAGACCGTCTGTGAGATAGGCAACCGGTTACACGTGATGTCTGACAATATTAGTCTATGTCCTTTAAATAAAATTTAAAAAAAAGAAAAGAAGAAACCAACCCTGAAATTTGTCCTATGAGTCCTGAAACATCTTATATTTAATATCTCAAATAATTGAAGAAAAACTTATAGTTACTTCGGGTAAAAGATTATACTTTCTGCTAGCATCAATAACATTTCCATACTCTGATAGATTGTCATGACTGATCTTATCCATCCCATCGAAAAAGTCTTTTGATTCAGCGATAGTCTTGTAATAGGAGTAATACATTCCCTAAAAGAAAAGATGCAAATGTTAAGATGCTTAAATCTGCTATTATTGGTATGATGCTTTTTAATATGTATAATTATATGCGACCAGTTTTTAAATACACAAGTTTTAGAAATATAGTTATGTTATTTGAATGTTGTGTTCATACATATAAAGTTTATATACAGGGTGAGTTTTTTAACTTGAAACTGTAAAATATCTCGGAAAGTAAGCTTTATCGAAAAAAATGTTTCAAACAAAAGTTGTATTTATGGTATTTTATATGTTAATTTCTATGTAATTTTGTGTCTTTTTTATTGCCCGCAAAATAATTTATTTATTTTCTCGTGCAGTTTTGAGTAGCAACGATTGACGTTCAATTTGACAGAAAACAAAAGTGTTTGATCGATAAAAAAATTTCTACTCATTGTATCGTCAATCAATTTACCGAATATGCATATCTTTCTATGATTGCATAAAATATCATCTACTATCGTACCATCTCGGTCCTGAAGGACATTTCTCGCTCGATCTCCGAAAGATGAGAGAAGTGTCGGTCATTTTCAAAGATCGTGGATACATGCCACCGATGCAAATAACCGAAACCAAGACCTGTTGTTGGAGCAAAGGTTGTTTCACCATTAAACGATGCTTCCGCTCGCGAATTACGTCGGCTGCCCGATCTTTTTACGCACGATAAAGCGAGTGTTATTACCCAAAAGATTTACAGCCCAATGATATAAGGCGGTGCTCTCGTGTGCCGGTTTTTCGGCCGCTCTACGCTTCCTGTCACTTTTCGTCGCCATCTTTAGGTCTCTGCTTTATAACTGCATCATGTCACACTTTCTGTACTCAGAATGAAATAGGTGTGCGAAGTTAGCCATTGGAAAGAAAAAGAGAAAAATTATGAAAGGTGTAGCTGATATAAGACCTTTAACACATATAGCACGTGTAGGGGTGTGTTCGGATATTTTACCCTGGCTAAAGTAACGTTTAATTGACCAATCAGGGCAAAAGGAGCAAAGATTTCGTTGTCCCCATTGGTCAATTAAAAGTTACTCCATCCCACGGATAGGATTTCCGAACATAGCCTAGCACATAGCAGGTCACATGATCGCTATCACGTGAGCTACAGAGAGGCGCGAAATTTCGAATCTTCCAAGAACTTTATTCTCTCTTTAACAGATACATAGAAATTTTATGAAATTTTCTTCTATTAATATTATTCTAATATGCACGTAATATTTGCCACTTGCAAATGCTCCATTTTGCAAGTTTTATATTTATTTTGAAACCTAACGGATGAGAGAGAAATATGATCGGCAGTTTATATTATTCTTCTCCAACTGAGAGCTCAAATAGATCTTTCGTTATCATTATTATTATCCTTGTTTGTGTGATTGTTGTTAATGAACGTGTCAGCTTTTGAAAAGAAGGGCGACGCGTTTTACGCTCCTGAAAATCCGCACGTAATAGCGGAACGTGCATCGGCACTCCCGTTATCGATCAGTCTCGTGGTAGCGGTGGTAGCCCGCCGTGTCATGGAGGATCTCCTGCTGCAGATCGTCAGGGAGTCGAATAATGCGAGGTTACAAAATTTACGCAAATCAGCGCAGGAAGCGCACGGTGAGCGCTTATCACGCTTCCTTTCTTTTTTTGCGCGTGTGTGACATTTTTATCCAATTTTTTATTAAATACTTTTCCCGCAAGAAAAATATCTTTTTTCACTCGACGAAGACATCAATCAAGTGGCATCTTTTGCGACAAATTTATATAATCGCAATTGTAAATTGTGTAAACATATTTCTCTTACTTAATTTAAATATATCTAAAAATTTTTGCTATGCAAAATTACGTTTTAAGTTGATGTCGTTCTTTCGCTAAAGTGAAATGATAGTACGATATACGTTAACAAGATTAGTCAGACATTAGTCATCGAAAAATGTTTTTTTTTTAAAGATACTCTGGTCTGTTCCTCGTGATAAAAGGTTAATTCCTTTTTCCTGCAGATTTTTTGGAGAAGCAGCAAGGCTTGCTACGAGATCCACCTCACGAACTCCGCGCAAAATGCTTACATACGTTTCAGCTAGCACTGGAGAGCAACAGGAGCAAATTTATTGCCTTCGGTCTTGCGGGATTACACGTAAGCGATATAACAGAAAATTCTTCCTTGTAAAGCAATTTTCTTTGCGTTAAAAGATAGTTTTTTTTTTTCAAATGTAATAATAACATGAAAGCTTACTTTCCGAGATATTTTACAGTTTCAAGTTAAAAAACTCACCCTGTATATATATAATATATTAAAAGGTTTTCTAAGTAGATATATCATTTTCGATTTATTGAAACACTTTCTTGTATATTATAGTTATTACAGTGTTTCAAAAAATTTAGAAAAAACACTTTCTTGTCTATTACACAAGAAAATGTTTTTCAAAATTTGTTTTCTAAATAATATGAACTTATATTCTCCACGGCGTAATAATTAAAAAAATCACGTTTTTATTCATGATTAAATTAGGAATATTTTACATAATTAATATGTAAAATTTATATATTTATATATTTATTTATTTATTGTATTATATATATATATATATATATATATATATATATATATATATATTATTTAATTACAAAGTTCACGTAATATTTGCCACTTGCAAATGCTCCATTTTGCAAGTTTTATATTTATTTTGAAACCTAACGGATGAGAGAGAAATATGATCGGCAGTTTATATTATTCTTCTCCAACTGAGAGCTCAAATAGATCTTTCGTTATCATTATTATTATCCTTGTTTGTGTGATTGTTGTTAATGAACGTGTCAGCTTTTGAAAAGAAGGGCGACGCGTTTTACGCTCCTGAAAATCCGCACGTAATAGCGGAACGTGCATCGGCACTCCCGTTATCGATCAGTCTCGTGGTAGCGGTGGTAGCCCGCCGTGTCATGGAGGATCTCCTGCTGCAGATCGTCAGGGAGTCGAATAATGCGAGGTTACAAAATTTACGCAAATCAGCGCAGGAAGCGCACGGTGAGCGCTTATCACGCTTCCTTTCTTTTTTTGCGCGTGTGTGACATTTTTATCCAATTTTTTATTAAATACTTTTCCCGCAAGAAAAATATCTTTTTTCACTCGACGAAGACATCAATCAAGTGGCATCTTTTGCGACAAATTTATATAATCGCAATTGTAAATTGTGTAAACATATTTCTCTTACTTAATTTAAATATATCTAAAAATTTTTGCTATGCAAAATTACGTTTTAAGTTGATGTCGTTCTTTCGCTAAAGTGAAATGATAGTACGATATACGTTAACAAGATTAGTCAGACATTAGTCATCGAAAAATGTTTTTTTTTTAAAGATACTCTGGTCTGTTCCTCGTGATAAAAGGTTAATTCCTTTTTCCTGCAGATTTTTTGGAGAAGCAGCAAGGCTTGCTACGAGATCCACCTCACGAACTCCGCGCAAAATGCTTACATACGTTTCAGCTAGCACTGGAGAGCAACAGGAGCAAATTTATTGCCTTCGGTCTTGCGGGATTACACGTAAGCGATATAACAGAAAATTCTTCCTTGTAAAGCAATTTTCTTTGCGTTAAAAGATAGTTTTTTTTTTCAAATGTAATAATAACATGAATGGAAAATATCGCGTTTGAAGTTTTATCTTTAAACTATTCTTCCTCCTATATGTGTTGGTGGTTAGCATTGTTGTAACCGCATGGGGGAAAACGTATGTTCCGGAACTGTATGCGATAAAACGAGAGATAGCGACGAACAGCTGCGACAGTTTTAAGCGAAGTCGCGTCGCTATGTCATTTTTAATTAGCTTTGTTCGAACAAGTTATTTTCATGGTTTTTATATAGACTCTGTAACGAAAGATTAAATATCTTGAATAAGATGGATAAATTTTTACAATTAATTAATATCTAGTTGAATTTGATTTATATTTGTACTTTATATATTGATAATTTTTTTGTTGGCAATTGATTGAATTAAGGTATAATCAAACTGATAAAATTCGTAGAAAATGTTGAGAGACGATAGATTTCAATCGCCCTATGAACCGGAAGACGATTCGTTATGGTTGCCTGCGCAAATGTTGCACGCCATGAGCTCCATCGTCTCGCAGTCCGATGACACGCAAACGGATATGCTCAAAGTGAGTAGTAAAAACATTTCGGAGCGAGTGCTTTAATAGCAGAAACGTCATTTTTTTCTTTTAGGTTTTACTGCAGGTTGCCTGTTCCCCTTATTGGACCATGAACGGACGTCTGATTATCGCTATATTAACTACTTGCTGCGAAGCTTTTGAGAATGGAAATCAAGCTGTACGTACAGCAGCACAGGCAGCGACCAGTCAAACATTGCGATCGTTTTGTCTCTTCTTAGGTAATACGAAAAAATCCAAGCTATAAAAAGAGAATAAGAAGCTAGTACGATATTGCGTCGACGATGCATATCCGCTCTGCACAGTGATTGAAGATATAGCACTCGTGGGGATGTTTGATCGATAAATTACAAGATCGCGTGTCGACGGAAAATGCGGGTCCAAGAATGCTATCAGCTAAGCGTCTCAACAGTTGGCTATATTGCTGGCGCTAGCGAATGCATCGCCGGCGTCATATTCCGATGTTTATTCTGCTACGAATAAAAATTGTCTTTACTTATTCGCAGACGAAGAGTGTCAGGAGATGGATGAGAATGCCAAACGGAACAAGAATGTTCGCGAGCGAGGCGTCTCGTGCTTCAACGAGGCTCTGCCGATTCTGCAATATATCTGCAGCAAGCTGGACGAGGCTCAAAAGTAAAGATATATCTTGGGGAATCAGTAACGTATAAGAGGCGTGACTTACATAATATCCCATAAGTAATGTTTAGGAAATCCTGTTCCAGTAACGGCAGGAACGGCAACACTGTGGTCTTCCTACTGGAATGCCTGCACACGCTCATATCGTCGCTACCGCAAAAGATTCACACCAACGCGCATTTCACGACCTTCCTGTGGCAGAAGTTCTGTCCCGCCTTGATAGCCTTTCTAGGCACGCCTCGAGTGGATAAAACCTTCACCTCCCGGGAGGGGAAGGAGAATGAGATTGGCAGAGGTTCCGGATACTTGGCCACGTCGTTGAGCTTCGACAGCCATCAGGCTAAGACTGTTTACAGGTAAAAGTCTTAACATAATCATAACAGAATCTGAAAATAATATTTAATATACATTTTTTTAAATAAGAATTTGCATATATTTACGTAGTATAATGTATTGTATGGGAAATAATTGATATGATGTCTTTTTATTCAGCATTGGTACAGAATTAGTAAGATTAGTAGGATGCGTTGGTCCGCTGCGACCAGTCTTGGAATCGGTGTTTCACAGAATGCTGCTATATCCACCACCGCAGCAACGTTTAGAACCGTTAAAAGCGTTGAAAGAACTACTGCGTAGTCCTAGTCGCATGGTGGATTTTGCTGGACCGTTACTGGTCGAGGAAGACCGATCGAGTCATATACAAAGTGATATGGCACTGATGAGACTGTGAGTATTGCAAAATTTTGATATCTATAAAAATTTCATCTAATTTGAACAGTTAAATATTTGTTGTGGAATTTTATGTACTATATACATAAATATTTATTTTAGAGCCATGGATTCTATCGAGGAATCAACAACCGGTGGACTGGCTATATTGCATGCGAGTGTCTCCTGCGTAATTGCCATGTTGTCGGCGCTTCAGGAACTTTGCGAAGGCAAGGCGATTAATCACAATTACACGTGCACGATCAATAGTTTGTACGAGGATTTGGAATCCTGCGACTATCGCGGACCTTTGACCTATCAAAGCATGGCACGATTGCCAAAAACTTATAGGTGAGCATCAACAACGTCCCAAGAATATATGTTAATTGTTAATTATAACGCAGTTATTTTGAAAATGTAATTAAAGAGACGAGTTATCGATTTTAACTTGAATCTAAATATAAAACATTGAAAATTTGACCTTTTTAAAAAATTGTTCTATAAAAAAAATAGGATTTTATTTTAATCCATTTCTCTTAGGGAACAATTGGAATTAATGAAGAAAGGTATGGGTTCGGATTCCGACTCATCCGGGCATGGACCATCGGAGGATGGCGATTCAACCGACACCGAAGGTCCTCAAAACGAGTCGGACGAGGTACAGGAGGAAAATAGCCTCGACGACAACGATTGCGCAACAGAGAACGAGTGCGAGAGACTGAGATTGAAAAAATTACCAAAATGTCTTCACGTGGGTCGACAGGTAGCTGACGAATGCAACGTGGATGTTGAGAGGCACAATGCCAGGCGATTTGTAAAAACACTCAGATCCGATCTCATACCGATGGTACTCACATTAAGGAGTAACATCGAAGTGGATGAGGCGTTGCAGAACTTTGCTTCCGAATACTGTCAAGGTAAACTGTTATTGTAAAGCTACTATTACAAAAAGAACGTTTAAATATTATATTGACAATGTGACAATAATATGATATTTTATGGATATAGAATTTTGTATTTTTTGTATTTTAGGAGTGTTTGTAGCTCAGCAGAAAATGCAGGAACAAAGTGATACCAGTACAGATTCATGTGCGTTAATCACAATCATGAACGCCGATGGAATTTATTTGGCAACGTATGCGGCGTTGCTTCTCAATCTGAAATTAATTCGGATAAATTACTATCATGACGAGGCTCGGCAAGTACCGGTCAGCGAGGTACGTCTAATAATCTCATTTCTATTGAATTTAACGCGTTTATTTATTTTCAAATTTTGCTTTTAAGGAGCAATTTGTGGAAGAGGTGCATGGGTCAGGTGTTCTGGTTTATCTCTCAGCCACGTGGCTTTCCGAATTGTATCAACAAGTGCTCGCGTGTAATTTACTCGAGAGATGCGGTTATAATCCCAGCTCTACGGAAAATAATGCGTTAGTCAATGTTCTCACGGGTACGCAAAATATTAAATTATATAATATTTTTGTGCGAAATAGAGATATTACCAAAGAGATTATTTCTCTTATAATATCTAAATTGTAATTTTGTTAAATTAAATTGATAAAATCTCTTTTTTTATACGATTTATAGACGTGGACGGTATACCTGGTAGCCACAGAGGTGGACAGTTGCTCTCCGATTACATAAGACTGGAACGGGCCCAACTTTCTCGAAGCGAGCCGACTCCGGAAGCGGAGGCCGGCGCGAAACTTTCCCGGAGAGTGCTGACTTGTTGCTGGAGCAGCATGATGACGGTTCTTACGACGGGACTGAATCCTCCCAAGGAGGAAACCAATAAAAGCATCCTAAACAGAGATGGTGGTAGAAGAGGAGTCAGGGATACGGTCGTCTTGGCGCTCGAGGGTCTTCACAAGGCTGCCACATTGAGCAATGTACTCGGTACTTGCATCACTTCTTCCTTCTTCATAAGATCTTTATCCAGAGTATAATCTATGTCCATTTTCATCTACCTTTTTTGTTTTAGGCTTACAGAATCGTTGCGGCTCCATCTTTGCTCTTCTCGCCAAAGCCGCTTGCACAGAACAATCCATTTCGAGAATCACTCGCAAGAAGGATGTTCTCCGACTTAAATTACAGAACAGGGCGACCAATATTCACACATCTCACGCGCTCAGTATGGACGTGCTTTTGGGACGAGGTTTGGAACTCGGTAGTCATGGTAGCGATTGCTGGCCGCACGTTTTTACGTAAGTGACGCTCGAAAACTTAACAATATATTCTTATATTAATTTTAAAAAAATCTTTTTCTTTTTTTTATGAAAGAACAGTATCCTTTCTTTACCGCTTTTAAACCTCTTGAGACGTCAAAGCCCAACATTTTTTCGGTGGTCTTTCAGATAATCGTCTACTGTTAGGTTTTCTTTATTTAGCCCACTTGGCTCATCGTTCAAGACATGCAATCTACGTGATTTCTCTATTTTCGACATCTTGATCTTACCCATCTTATCACATCCTGGATTTTACAATCTCTAATTATTGCGATTCTAGCTCTATTTCGGAGGCTAGCTTATCATATTGTTTTGAGTGTTTTTATCTCAGTAGTTCTTAGTATTTTCTATTCTAAAAAGAAATCATATGTATTTAAAGGTGTTGTCTGTACGTGAGCAAGCTGGAACATGACTTCTTTGGAAGGAATCAAAATCCATCGCTGCCCAAAGCTCATCAAAAGAAGGAGAAAAAAGACATTGCGAATGGGGATGCTAAGAATGGTCAAGATAGGCTGCGACTAAATTTTAATATTGTCGATGATGAGGAATCTTGGTACGATTTATTTTTCTATTTTATAAAATTTTAATTATTTGCAATATTTGTTTTCTAAAAAATTTTCTTAAGCAATATTCTGTATTTTTAATTTCCTTATTATTTCTTTTGCAGCGTGGATGTTTACAGTTTTCTTTCGAGTCCTTATACGCAAAATCCCAGCTCGGACACTATCCCGGAGATTATTCAAGAATCGAACGCCGACAGCCAGTTCAATGGCATTCTACCGGCGGACTACGCCGCCAAGATTATCTGCGTACTGTCGCAGCAAGTCGACAGACTCTTCGAGGACGCGGCACTTAAACTGAATCTCAGAGCGCTCTGCTCGTTTCTCACGGCTCTCTGTAAGGCTAGCAAAGCGCAGCTCTTTAAGACCACCGACGGATGCAAAGATAATAAGAGATTTTGGTGGAGACGGAATAAACCGAGGGAGAATGAGATGAACGTGTTGCTTTTAGCTCGTTTGGGCGAAGTTATGCTGAAGTGTGTAAAAAGCGGCAGGCCCTTGATTCATATAATGGGAGTAAGAGTTCACTTTCTTTTACAGTACTTAAGTAATCTTTATACGACATAAAGATTATTCAATTTTCCAGGTATGGAGTATTCTGGGGCCACACTTCATGGAAGCAGCTTGCCACGAGGACCGCGGCATCTCGAAGAAAGCCGTTCAATGCATTCACGATTCCATGGCGGGTTTGTTGAACGAGCAGATAGAACTTCCGCATTTTCACTTCAACGAGGCGCTCTTCAAGCCTTTTGAAAATCTTTTATGTCTCGAGCTTTGCGACAGTGACGTGCAGGATCAAGTGCGTAGCCGCTTGCGATCGCGTAAAGCGATTTAGCTTACAAATTGCTATTTTTTTCTCAGATCGTTAGCTGCATCTGCGAGTTCGTCGAAACGAATTGCACGGAGATCCGCTCGGGCTGGCGTCCGCTTTTCGGCGCCCTCCGAGTGGCGTCGGTCGGCAATTCGGATTCCGTCGAGTCAGCCCCCTTGTTGGAAGTCTTCAGGGTTTTTCTCTCGACGGACAACACGTTGGTCTTCGCCAACGCCGCACTGGACTGTATCCTGTGCCTGCTGAAACACGTGCGGGGTATCGGCGACAACGAGACCCAATCCGAGGAGGCGGAAAACATTGACGGCGCGGAATCGAGGAGGATGAGACTCTGCGTGGAAAGTCTCAAGTATCTGTTGAGCTGCAGCGACATCCTGTCGTCGATGTATCGGATGCCAGCCTGTCCGATCTTCCATTCTGCCCAGAGAATTCAAGTGTCGACGTTGCCGCAATACGTGGACCCGGTTATACCGAATCTCGAGCTAACCAGATTCGACAAGCACATTGAGTCGATGCAAGATATCATCCCGGAAAGATCATACGATGTGCTGACTCCGCTGATCGACAAGAACGCTCATTCCATGACGACGCTGCAGAGCATGGATAAGCCCAGCGGCATTCTTCGCGTCTGGTACATCCTTATTGAGGGCCTGGCGAGTGCAACCATGATTTGTCCGAGACGTTATCAACCACATACTTTGGAGACTCTGTTCCATCTCTTGCGCGACATTTTGAATGTACCCGGGCCGGCTTTCGGACTCTATTGTGTTAATCATCTGCTGCTACCTATGGTGCAAAATTGGCTAAGGAAAACGTCCAAGATCTTCCGTGGTTGGGATAACTTTGCGCCTAACTTTAAACAATGCTGCGGTCTCACGACCGATCTCGTGGTTGATTACTTGACGCATCTGCAAGGTAAATATGATGATAACGCGAAAAAAAAGCGATAGTTTAGCAAAACGCTAATCCGTCCGTTGGTGTAATGGTGTAACGCATCAATTCCTCAGGTCCAGAAGTTGTCAGGAACGATGCCTATCTGCCGGCCACAACGTTGATGTT